AGCGGTGTTGTATCAGAAGGGCCTCGATGCCTTGAACAGCCGAGTGGTAGGCCAGGTCACCACGACACGCCCGGGCCATCCTCCTGGTGCAAGTGGCGTAGGATCGCAGAGCGCTGCAGTACCCAGCATTCATTGCTGCCCTGCTTATAGGGGCTCCACCTCCACCTCCCATCCCACCTACGGCCCCGCCTCCTCCAACACCAACGCCACCACCCAGATCCAGCGTTGCTGCAACAAAGTCCGAGTTGCACCTCAGGATACGACAGGAAGCTGCAGCTGCAGAGAAAGGAAGAAGATTATTTTCTACATTATTTTGTAGAACAACAAAAGTCATTGGATCAAAGGAAGGATGTGATGTTAAAATGTCTGCTGTTATACATATAGGACCTTTACTAGTAATAAATGTAGTATTATCTCAAAGACTGCAGATATCACAGTGTTGCTTCCAAAAGTTTGTAAACTTAGCATATGATCCAGGACAGTATTTAACTTAGCTTTATTTGAAAAAGATATAGGAATATTTTCAGGCTGCATGTTAGCATTAGCTCCAAGGTAGTAGTTACCTTAGCATTGTGTTAAAACAATATTAGTAAATATAGTATTATCTCCAGGATCGTTAGTTGGCTTCAATTTCCAAAACGTTGCAAACTTAGCATTAGCTCTACAATAGTAGTTAACTCAGGGATGGCAGCTATTCCAAGAAATACATGAAACGGAAAATTAAACAGCAGACGTTAATCGTTTAGTGCAACGTTATTCTGATGTACACAGCTGTTTTTGGGTTCCTGCTACTTTAGCATCTATAATCACCGACAGTAATACATTCAATAACAGCCAACCCTTATTATCCATTATAATTTCACGTAAATGTTCATGTATGAGTTTTATCTAATGGTATGACCCAGAACGTCGAGGTGACGTCCTGCAGGGATCTGATGTTCTGATGCCCACAGGTCTGTGTGTGTGTGTGTGTGTGTGTGTGTTTTCGTGTACCTTCAGTGAAGCTTAATGGCAGCAGCAGCAGTGTCAACAGAATGCAGCGTTTCCATGGTAGTATGTGTCCCTTAACACCCCCCACAGGTTTCATCCTCAGACTGGAGACACAAACACACACACACACACACAAACAAACAAACAAACTAGGCTCAGAAATGAGGAACAACTTGGGGAAAAAAACCCTCAGGATATTAGAGTTAACTTATTAAAACATGGACTGGACCAGTTCAAGTGTTGTCATCCCATTCAATCAGGAATTCACCAATTAATTTACAGAGACAATTATATATATATTTGTGCAGCGATATAGTTTATCATTATTATAAAGCCACTCTTAAATGAAAAGTTTCATTTTAAATCTCTTCCAGATGCCATGGTTTGTAGAACCACACTCATATTAACTACTGAGAAGTTGAAGTTTCCCACAGAGTACTGTGAGTCTCAAGTACGACTGAAAAAAATATTTTTGCCCCGAGTCAAAAGTTAAATTTGTAAAATGTCCATACCAATACAAAAGGACAGAGAGTCAGCTGAAGGACAAAGTTGGACAAACATTTTAAAGAACTTGTTGAACAGTTGTAGTACCGTACCGTGGTACTATTACAACAAACAAACAGCTAACGAAAATCTCTACTACAGCACGTTTACTATCTGCACCTCATCAGGGTTAAAAATACAGCTGGTGTCCGACAAGAGTGACTGTGTGTGTGTGTGTGTGTGTGGGGGTGGTTAAATTTAAACCATAGTATTACCCCCACTCCTACACACACACACACATAATCAGCTCATACAAAGACACAGTAGTCAGAACTATTTAATCATTCACATCAGAATAAATCAATAACATTTGTATCCACCCAGAGATGAAGATTTTTTTAACAACCTTCCCCTCATGTCCAACAGAAGACACAGAGGGTTCAGACCCCAACACCCCCCGACCCTTCACCTTAGCTCCTCACCTGAATGAGGTGTGCCAAGAAGAGCACCTGAACTGACTGCTGTGGCGCCCCCTAATGGAGCGACGGGCTAAATGCGATCCTGTTCTTTTCTAAAATTTCTAAAATAAAGTCTTTATGTCATTCTGTCAACAGTACCAGTGACTCAGACGAATGTGTTTGTGCTCTGATCGAGGCTACGCTAACCTAACACTTTAATGAATGTTGCCGTTAGCTACCAGCTTAAACAGAGATGAGAAAATACAGACAGAGGGTTTCTTACCTTGGAGGTTCACGATCAGAATCCATCCATGATCACACTACAGGTTCCAGGGTTCTCCAAAGACTTTTCAGGGCCTTCTCCAGGTCACTCAGATTTTCAGGTTTCTTCAGGACCTGGTCCAGGAGGTCATTGAGAAATCTCCATGTCTCAGTAAAGAACTGGTCCAGGACTGTCCCGGTCTCTGCTGTGCCTTCTTACTGGTTCTGGTCTTCGCCTCATGGTGTCTTCACAGCTGACTGAGAGCGTCAGACGTTTCTAAATAAATCACCAACAGCTGCTGCTGCGTGACCCACACACACACATTCATGGCCAGAAACATACACGCACACACACATACACATGGCTTTTTCGTATTTTGTTAGCACGCCATCGATGTACAGCATTCCCACCTCCGTACTGTAGATTTATATGTCCAGTCCTAATCCTTTTCCTAACTCTAATTTGATCCTAATTCCAAACTAAATTGTAAACCTTAAAAATACTCTCTTACTCACTGAAAACCTGCGAAATGTTCCCACTGAGTCAAACATGACCTCACACTGGACCTGGAAGCAAAAACAAAATTTCAATATCAATAAAAACATGATTTTTTAAAGAAACATTCACCAACAGGATAAAACTACAACAGCATCAAATCCATGACGTTTTCTCCGAATTTTTACTGATTCTGTTAAAGAAGAGTGAGTTACATCAGTGTTTAGCTCATCAGTTAGCATTACATTCTGTGAATAGAATAACTGCTCTGTACTTAAGCCTGGACTGCATTAACCACACCCACTCCCTCTGACCCCACCATGGAACCTCCACCTGTGTCCGCCACCACCAAACAGAAGATCAGAAAAATAACCCTGGGCCTGGAGCCACGTTGAAGTCATTTTTTTTATTTGGGTGAACAAACATGAAGTATGTTGTTAGCTCATGATTGATAAGGAGGGCGATGTGTCTTCATCATGTGATCAGATCCTGAGGTTTGATCAAAGGCCGGATGGTGATGACTGCTCAGATCAGGAAGACCAAAATAACTTCCAAAAATGAAAAGAAAAAAACTGTTTCTTCACGTCTCATTTAATCGGGGATTCTGTAGGGAAGGGCGCCTGCTCGGGGTCCAGGTTCGGGTCCAGTTTCTGGTTTTAACTCTGTCACTGGTCCAGAGTTTGGCTGTGGCTTAAAGAAGTTTCAAGGCTCTGGTTCAGTTTTGTCCTCGAGTTTCTGGTCTAGGGTCTGATCCGTTTTGGTCCTGGATTTTTTTCTGGATCATAATTCATTGTAAATGATGTCACGTTTCATGGTGATGACATCACTGTGACTCAGTGTCTGCGAGTGTAAACCGTCCAGAGATTTCTGCTGCTTCTCCTTTTGTGGCGATGGATGAGCGCAGTTGTTGTTGCTAACGTGGTTAGCATAGCGTGGCGACATCAGACCTGAATGTGCATCAGGATCTGTTTACGATGAGTCGCAAAATCTGCAGGAACTGTGTCTGAAACCAAGAACAAACAGCAGTGGTTAGCGTCTAGCATCAGATTTTTAGCTGCTACATTAACTTTGTCAGTTAGCTTTTAATTATTAGCTGTTACATGTTAGTTATTTTTAGTTTTTACCTGCTAGTTCCTGTGTGTTAGTGACATTAACCGTGTAGCTTTAGCCTGTTAGCTGCTGATCAGAACCCATTTCCATCAATGTTCCCATTTTCTTCACTCCACACGAACCCATTTCCATCAATGTTCCCATTTCCTTCATTCCACACTGAAGGTGATTGGTTTAAAATGTTCCTACCATTGCACCTGTAGCGCAGGTTGGACCAGATGATGTTTTCCTGTGAGAAACAGAAGACTCCAAGTCGTCCACCCCTCATGGTCGTGTCAATGACAACGCCAGAGTCAGCCACCATGTCCGACCCCTCGAACAGCTTCACCCTAGAACATGGAGATTTTTACGGTGTAGAACCATCCGAGGATGGTGGTCTGCCTGACCTGAGCTCACCTCCAGATCAGAAGGTCAGACTGTGATGTCACTGATCCACGGTGAGGCTTGAGGATTTTATAATAATATTGTATATTGTTATTTATACATTGTATATAATTAAATACAGTATGTATTGTGTTTATTGTAGACATGCTTGAGGATTTTATAATAATATTGTATTGTATCTTTTTATATAACTTTACAGTATATATGGTATTTTTACAGTGTATTTTGCTACTTTTTACTGTGTTTTTTTTTACAGTGGGCTTGTTGATTACCTGTCGTATTTGTCAGGTAGATTCAAGAGATAAAAAAACACTGTATTAAACCTGGTCTTCAGTCATGTGACCAGTTTAAGCCGCTCCTACCTGATGTATCCAACCTGCGGCCTGTGGCTCAGCTGCCAGCGGTACGAGGTCTTGTCCTTCCAGCCCATGTTCCGTGGATCTTTCCAGAGCAGCGTGACCTCCCCAGGTGTGTTTCCTGTATGCCAGAGAGCATTCCTCAGGTACTCACCAGGACCGGTTTGAGACTTCACTGCCTGAAGACACGACAGAAGACGGTGAGACCAGAGCATGATTTAGAGCCGTTCAATTATGAAAGGGAGGGTGTGGGCGGGTACAGACCTTGAGCTGCAGGGCAGGTTGGGCCACCGCTCTAAAGGGAGTGGACTGCCAGTACGCCTGCTCCGTCTGCTTCCACATCACCACATAAAAACTGGACGAGTCCTGGTAGCCAAAGATGAAGCCCACGTAGTCGTCGTCTGTCACTGTGTTGATGTGAAATGTTCCTTCGAAGTCAACGCCATTGAACGACGTGTAACCTGCAGGTGACGGTGAGGGCGGGGTCAAACACTGATCACAGGTGATGATGTCACTGTGTCTGACTAAAACAATAACACATACCAACAGCGAGACCCGGGTCACTGTTCATGGTCTGGACAATCTCCATACCCTGTAGAGGACAAGAACAATTCAAATGTCGACCGCTGACTCCACCCACAGAAGTTTAGTGTCAGCCAACGACCAGCAGGTGGACTGTGTCTTCTTACCCGATTCAGAACCACCCAGTTGGGATCGATCTGTGCATCACCCTCCGGGTCCAGCACCACAGTCTGATAGGCTCTGAAGTCCGTCAGGGTGACCTCAGCACTTTCTGGACATACGTCAAACGTATCCAACACGGCGTCGTTGTCAAAGTCGTCTTCACAGACGTCTCCCACGCCGTTCACTGAGAAGGTGAGAGAACCGGGTCAGAACTGTCAAAGTCACCGCAGCAAAGACAATTTTTTTGGCATTTGATGAACACACTTGATAAAAAAAGATCACTACTCCACTCTGGCTAAGCTGGGCTAAAAACAATCTTGGTGCTAATACTATGATTATTCTTTTTGATTTGACCAGGGGCAGAACAGACAAGTTAAACAGACGACACATTGATGTGTTGTTACTGTCAGAGTCTTTCTGGTTGGGATTAACGACCAGTCGACAGTTATCGTGGTCATCCAGGACACCATCGTTGTCATCGTCATGATCGCAGTCATCTCCAAGGCCATCATTGTCAGAATCCAGCTGTGAGCTGTTGGGGAGGTCGGGACAGTTGTCCCTGCTGTCCTGGAGACCATCTCCGTCCCTGCAGGAAGACAAAGACTCTCTGACTTTCTCCGTGGCTTGTGGATGTCTGTGAGCTAAAAAAAAATCACTGTTTTTCTCTATGGACCTAGAACCTAAACTGTGACCTACATGTCCTGGTTGGTATCACACGCGTCTCCCACCAGGTCGTTGTCCACATCTGTCTGTGAGACAAAGACGGAGAGTTATGAGGACAGAGGGACACAGATGAAGACATTTGTCCTGAGGCTGTGATGTCACACATCCTGACCTGCGTAGGGTCACTGAGCTCTGGACAGCTGTCACAGGCGTCTCCAACGCCGTCCCTATCTCTGTCCGTCTGCATCGGGTTTGGAACCTTTGCACAGTTATCAATGACATTTGGGATACCTAAACGCCAACGCACAAAGAGCACAGATACACCCAGGTAAGACGGCAGGTGAGTAACATATGTGGAAAACATCCCACAAGATCCTATTCCCACATTTTGAAAAAAAAAATCCAGGCATCATTTTATAGGGTTTCCGTTGTCACACTACTGATGTCATTGAATTTCAGGTTATTTGTCCTCACCGTCTCCGTCAATGTCCAGGTCACAGGCATCCCCTTGACCGTTCACGTCAGTGTCTCTCTGGTCGTTGTTGGGAACGTTGGGACAGTTGTCACAAGCGTCTCCAAAAGAGTCGCTGTCCGAGTTTTGCTGGTCTTTGTTTGGAACCAGGCGGCAGTTGTCCTGAGGGACAGTGGGGAGGGCGAGGAGAGGAAAGGAGGAGAAAGAGAAAGAGGATGATGAAGTCACACTGGGGTCACATGACATGACATTTGACTGGTGTTCTCTCACCTCCACATTCTTGACTCCATCTCCATCAGCATCCTCGTCACACTGGTCTCCGATGCCGTCTCCGTCTGCATCCTCCTGCCCTGAGTTTGGTGTGAACACACAGTTGTCCTGTTGGACGAGGACAGGTGAGAGACAGCACCAGCTGCTGTTGTTGCTGTGGCGACAAACAAACACTTAGCTCACCTGTTTACAGTGTTTGTTGTTGTCCATGCAGGGCAGAGCACGATCTGGATAACCATCAATATCTGTGTCCATTCCGCAAGTGTTTCCATTTCCTGCCCAACCTACATTACACTGCACACACACACACACCATTTACCATTGGCTAATAGGCTGAGATATCTTAGGTGTACGGAGTCCTCACCCTGCAGGACACATCTCCATTTCGCTCCATGGCGCAGTGGGCGTTAGCGTCACAGGGGTTAAAGGTCAGAGTGTTGCAGGACTTCCTGGGATAGCAGCCCATTGTCTGGTTTCCCAGGAACCCAGGTTTACAGCCTCCACACTTATATGAGCCCTGAAAGAACAACGTCAATGCAGAGTCTATCCAGCAGGGGGAGACAGGGGACTGTGTGCAGCACAGTGACGACTCACCACAGAGTTGATGCAGACGGAGTTTGGTACACAGACCTCGGGAATGTCCACACACTCATCGATGTCCAAGCATTCCTGGGAATACACACACACATACAGACACTGTGCTAAACACACACCTTGTTTACATTGTTTCATAAACAATATACTACACAAAATACTGTAGATTAACGTCTATCTGAATATATATACAGTATATATATTTATATAGAGAGAGTGAAAGAGAGAGAGAGAGAGAGAGAGAGAGTATCTCTGACCTGCTTGTGTGTCTTGGCATAGTCCAGTCCACTACCAACCAGTGGCGCCCCCCACAGACCAGGAGGACAGGGTTTACAGCTGAAGCCACCGATGCTGTTGACGCAGGCCTCGGAAGAGAAACACGGCCACGCCTCACACTGAGTGGGAGGAGTCACGTTACTAACACAGCCACATCACTGCTGCGTGTGTTGCTGTGAGTCACGTTACTAACACAGCCACATCACCGCTGCGTGTGTTGTTGTTGTTGTTGTTTACCTCATTAACGTCGTCACAGTGGGTTCCATTGCCGGTGGTCCCCGGAGGACAGGGTCCACAGATGTAACCAGGGAACTGCATACTGTCCATGCAGGACACGCCTTTGAAACACGGGTTTGGGAGGCAGCGGGAGCGAGGCTCATGGAATCCTGCGGGGACATAGATGGGCTTCAATCAGGTCCTCAGATGTCTAGCCAAACCTCTGTCATCCGTCAGTACTAAGAACCGATGCCTCACCGCAGATTTGACACTCCAGGATGGTGTTTCTGATCAAAGACATTTCCTTCACCTGAGGACAAGATCACAAGAAGGTCTTCACACATCTCCAGCCTGGTCTGTCCTGTCTGTCCCATCTGCTCTGATCTGTCCTGAGGTCTCACCTGCTCTCTGATGTCCTGTCTGAGTTCTCCCAGGATCTGGTTGAAGATGATCAGTTGTCCAATCAGAGCCTTGGTGTGGTCACCTGAGGATGACATCATCACACCAATCAGCTGTAATTATTGATACCTGATCATGTTTATGGTGTTTGACATCAGTGGACAACTCACCCAAGATGGAGTTTACGTCACCGTTCACTGAAAGACAACACACAAGTGAGTTTTCTCAGGGACAGGTGTTGAGACAAATGAGAGAGATGAGACAGGTGGGACAGAGTCAGTCAAACAGAGAGGTGTGAGACAGAGGGGACACAGATGAGACACCTGAGTGTCTGAGCAGACCTGTGTTGTAGTTTGATGAGTCTCCTTGAAAAGGACAATCTATCAAAGCTCCAGCCTTAGCAACACTGCCCCCTAGAGCCACTTTGAGAGATTCCACTGCACCCTTACAGACGGAAAGTGAACACCAGGGTCACGGTCATTATTGCATTCATCATCATCATCACTAACATTAATGATTTCATCCTGTTTTTCACCACTGACCTGCAGGCGGGTGTAGGCCTTCTGTCCGTGTCGAACCTCCACCAGGTCAGCATCTCGGGGCAAAGGCACAAGCGGCGGCAGGTCTTCGCTGGAATCAACCAATCGGCAGTCAACATACAGCTCCATGTGGGCATGTTGCCGCTGCAGACCGCCCAGCCTCAGGATGATGGAGTGGGTTCGTCCGTCGGCCACGTTGGCGTTCTGCAGGTTGACGGTGTGGAGCTTTCCGTCAGCTTTGACATAACGAACCAGGACTGAGGGGAAAGGTGAAGAGGTCACCGAGCGTTATCAACAGCAGCAGCAGCAGCAGCAACAAAGCCACTGTTTGGACCTCACCTACTTTTATTGATCTTGCCCATCACGGCCAGTTCCAGGTACTTTCTGTTGTCCTGTTTGCTGTAAAAGCCCAACAAAACTCCCCCCAGTTTCGCCGGCAGCCGCAGCATGGACATCACATACAGGTCACTGAGCACATCGAGACCGGCCGACAGCTTCTCCAACGCTGCTACGCTCTGCCTGGAGTCCTGGAGACTCAGCACATCAATCACTGAGGAGGAGAAGCAATGGACAGGGTTATAATGATGTCAATACACGTTGTCTGGATTTGTTGTTTCTGTTTGGGGAAAGTGCGAAACATAGTTACCTTAGCATTAGCTCTAGGAAAGTGGATAGTTTTTAAATAAACAGCAAGACCTGCACCTTACTCATCATAGCATTAGACATAATTAGCTTAGCAGTACCTTTTAGAAGGGTTGGAATCTTACAACTAGCCCTAGAGTGAAAGTAGTTACAGTAAAAGTAGTTCCGCTCGCATAACTTTGGAAAGATTGAGAAATGGTGGACGACTTATTCACAAAAGCATATAGTTGAATCAGCATTGCTTTCCAGATGATTCACTTAATAAGAGAAGGAAAGTGTGCATTACCTACACCAGAAGAGTAGAACATTAAAATATCTGAATCAATTCATCACAGGAGAGCACAGCCATTATTTCCCTCGAGAGTCATTAACCACTATAGTGAGAATCTCAGTCCTTCATTGGTCCCACAGCGAGGAATAATCTCCAGTTATTAACTGAGCATTAACAACACAGTGATTCATAACTGAAAACCAAACATTGAGCACAGTATTTCCTGTTTTGAAGAACTTTGAGGTCATCTGCGATACTTCAGGGAGATTCTTCTGTACAACATCTGAAAGGTTGCAAAACCTCCAGACTCCAGAAAAATAAACATTATATATATATATATATAAAATATATAACATTTTAAAACTTTAAGGGGTCAATCCTACAAATTCAAATCTTACTGTGTAACTTCTTCTGTCAGACACATTTAATATCTGTGTCATACAACGTTTAATAGATGCGTCCTGTGTAAAGAACCCTAAGTCCATTTGAACAGTTCTTTATACTTGTTAGAAATTTAACAACAGGCCAATTGAGCTTTGGTTTCTTTACTACTGACTGAATGACTGGTGGAAAACTGCAGATATTTCCTCTCTGAGGTCTGAATACCTGACTGAAGAGTTGTCATGGTGACAGACACTGAATATCTGGAGTTTCCTACCAGTCAGTCAGAAGTGAACAGACTTCCAGAAGTGCTTAACCTCACGAACAAAGCTCGGCTCCTGTTCCTTCTTCTTCTCCTCCTAACAAGGACAGAGAGGAGGTGGAAAATGGAGAACCTTCTCAGAAGGTTCCAGGTTTTTTAATGGTCCCGATGAACCTGATGGTGGTCCCTCTCACGAACGCATGTCTGACTTCACTGTGACACCAATATTCCTTACACGTCATGGATATAAACATTACTGTTCAAGAAGTCACTTCTACATTCTACTTCAACGAAAAAAAATTAATAAATGAAATATTAAGCACAAACAAACTTCAATTAAACTGTTCGAAAATATCTGAAACCCGATTGGTTGATTCTAATTCAGCCGTTAGTCCATACGTTCATCACTTTAATAGATTAATTGACTCCAAAAGTACTTCGTTACACCGAAACCTGGTACTTTTTTGTTGTTGTTGTTTGTTTCTGTACCTTGAACCTCTGCTTCGCCTGGAACTCCAGCTGAGTACCGAACCCAGAGCAGCGACACCAGTACCGGGACCGTCCAGTCCATCACGACCGAGTAGGTGGGGAGGACCTGGAGAAGCAGAAGGAAAAAAAACGCAGCGGGACTACAAACGAAGACCGGAACCGGACCAGGACCACAGAGAGAGCAGCTCCAGCAGAACCGGCTCCAGACTGACACAGAACACGGTCTGTCTTTTTCGGGCGGAGACAGAGGCGGGAAGAGGCGGAATGATACGCAGTGTGTAACAGTAGGGTGCACGCGCCGCTCTCAGACCGCCGGCGCGTGCTCTTCGGTGTAGGGCCGACTACACGTTACCTGCGGGCTGAGTGTGTGACGTCACCACGCATCACTTATTTACATGTAAAGTTTTTTTTTTTTTTTAGGAGCTCGTTACCACAGTAAAAACAGTATCTGGAAAGATATTTGGTTCAATCAAAGGAGCAGCGTGCACGATCTGGAGACAGTACCAGGTACTATTTGCATGTTTAATTAAGGAAACTGGGATGAGGAACTTTCTCCCTTTGTGATTTCATGTGTTTTTTTAGAGCAGGAACAAAAAAAAAGGATTTCAGTTAAAAGGTCAATCTACAATGTTACTTAACATTTCTAAAAAAAAAGAAAAAAAGAAGTTGCTCTACATTTCTGAACAGAGTTCGTCAACATTTACAAAAAGTGACACTGTTTGACAGGACCGTTTTGAAACATTTTCAACTTTCTGATCTGTTCCGTGTGTTCTCCTTGGCCACTGTTTGTTTCGGCTACTTGTGTGTTACCACGGTAACCTGGTTTTAACTGCAGGTGTGGGGGTGGGAGAGGAACCCCCCCCACACCCCATCACCCTGAGAGCTGCCAGTTTGTGACGCAAATGTGTGTTTATACACTAACACACACACACACACAGAGCCCTGGGGACAAACAGCTGCACATGACAACATCACACTGGAATCCCACACTGACTCCTGTTGGTGTGTGTGTGTGTGTGTGTGTTGGTGTGTGAGTTTTCACACACCACCTCTCGTAGAAAGTCAAATGTTATGGTTTTCATCCACACGTCTGTTCCTTCTTAATCTGCTGGCTCACAGGCATCGTCTGCAGGAATGTTCTGACAAATGAACCACAGCAGTTGTTATGATTCGCCGCTATTGGTGATTTCTACAAATGTCTTTAATGTGTTGTTCTATCAAATACATAAAACAATATCACCAAGACGACAATACCTGTTTACTGACTAGTGTTTTATAATTATTTCTTGTTTTAAATGGGGTTTTTAAAATAAAAAATAAAAAAATGAATTCAAAATTATACTAACTTATCTAAATATTTTACATTTTGTAAATGTTTTGATATTATATCGATATTAACTTAGCAAAACAATCCATTAGAAACTTCTGAATATTTATTTATTTTGTGGTGAATTTTATAATGTTCAGATCAATAATTAAATTATTTGTTTTTCAGACAAACTCCACCCTCCTCCATGGTAATTGTTTTGTTAAATGTTTCCATGGAAACCTTAGAATGCCTTTTCAGACACATCTGAAAATTAAAGAAAATGTTTAGATTCTCTTCTGTTTTGCCTCCAACAATGTCGCACTCTCTTCAAGTCCAAACTGTCCTCTGGTCTCCACTAGCTGAGTCCTCAGCCCTCTCCCTCCTCCTCCTGGTAGTGGTGCTGAGCTGTGATTGGCTGACTGTCCTGTGGTTCTTCCTGCACCTTCGTGTGGAAGTGTTCCAAGGACACCATCCCGGTCACAAGAGCGTAGCTCAGCATGGCTCCCATGGCCACAATCACTGACAGGAACTGCTTCATGCGCTTGTTGGGGACGTGGTCCAAATCTCCGCCTTCAGGTTGTGGTGTCACAGTGGAAGTTCCGCCCTCTGCAGGAAAGAAAGGTGAGAAATGAGGTCATGTCTTAGGAGTCAGTTCCTGTGTGGAACGGTCTGGTCTCAGTTTATGTCCAAAGGTGTTTCCTGGGCCTCAGGTCTACCCCTGATGTTGCATATGTTTTTAAAGCTACAGTCAAGCAGTTCTGGGATATATATCAGAAAAAAAACTACAGACTGTTCACCCATCAACACCTGCCTGAAGCATATGTAGACTGCTATACCTCATATTTGACATGTTTGGTCTCTAGTGTTGTGTAGACTGACCTCTGTTGGGGTCTCGGGGAAAATACAGCAGCAGGATGTTGCTGCAGAAGTTGCTGAGGTTGTCGAGGTTTCTCAGGTGTTGCTGCAGCTTCCCATTGGGCAGCTTGGACTTCAGGATGGGTGCCAGGTGACCAAAGACGTAGGCGTCCAGAGAAGATGGCCTGCAGTTGTTCGGTCACAAACAGAAAACGTCAAAACGTAAACATGAGAATATGCGATAATTAATCAATGGATTAAATGTAACCATCTTTAAACTTACGAGTCTCCAAAGAAGAACTTGTGTGAGCCTAGTCTTTGGGACAGGAGGTTCATACACTCAAAAGCGTCATGATACAACTGGGAAAACACAAAAACAAAAAAAAAAAGATTTAAATAGAAATAAATAGAAATGTAAATAGATTTATTAGACTATACAGAATTTTTACCTTTCACTCTTATCTATGATTTGAAATATATTTTTATGCCACTTTTCTTTCACTGCTGCCTCCTGTGGCCAGTTGGTGTCAATGGGGTAAATGTGAACAAGGGGTTTTACATTTACAATAATGCATTTAGCAGACTCTTTTATCCAAAGTGACTTACGTGAGGAGGATCTAGTTTATGGTTCCACTGGGGCTCGAACGCAGTGAAGTCATAAAATAACACATTTGAGCTTAGTGTTGGAGGCATCTATGTGTCCATGTGAACTAAATTCAGCTAAAAATATTAGTTTGCTGTCAGAAGGCTAAATATTCATTTATTGTTCTTTCATTGTTCTATATGTTCCGTTTCCTGTCTCTGGACTGTAACTTCATTAAACCTCAGAGTTTTCCCCAGCTCTGGATTTTTTTCCTCTCATTAATCCCATTTCCCAGAATTCCATCTGTTTTTCCAGCTGCTCTAGTTTTTAATAACAGGCTGCAGCTCTTCCACCAACTGTAAAAAAAAAACCTCCAATGTCGCCGACATTTAACCTTCTCCCACAGTGGAGTGGTTTTTCCAAAGCTGTGGAACTTTTCATTTTCCATATTTTTTTGAACATTACTTTGTAAAAGCTTCAGCCCCTAAAGCCTCAGACTCAACCTGTCTGCCTGCTGATGTCACTGGTGATGTCACTTTTCCCCACCTCCTTCTCCAGTTCCCCACTGACGTCCAGGACGTCATCTCCTCGCAGCAACCGCAGCTTCTCCAGCTGCTGACTCTGGATCCAACTGGGCAGAAAGAAGCGTAGTGGGAAAGGCATGTGTTCAGCATGCCAGCGCCGCGTCACCTCCACGTAGTTTGCAGACTCCCCCCAAAAGGTGTAGATCTGGGGAGGACAATGATGTTAGCATACATAGCAACCGCAGCGGTGGGGCTGTGTAACAAAGATGGTCACTGTCTCTGACCAGAGCCGGTGCAAGTTTCTCCTCCATGAGAGAGATGAACGCCAGACTGTCGGCGCCCTCCTTCGCTGACAGATCAAAGTCTGCATTGTATTTCTGAAATATTAAGAAAAGTGATCACAACAATCAACATTCACCTTATTGTAAAACATGTCATGAGAACAGACATCAGAGCTAATGTTAGCTCTAACAGTCCTGGTACAGTCTCTAGAGCATATTTATAAAACCACTACTTAACCTATTTGGCTGTTTCTCTTCTCTCTGTCTGTGCACAACCACCGTACTTTGCAACATCACTGTCATGCAAGTGTCGCTGTGTTTACCTGTTTCCTGAGGTGGATGATGATTTCAGAGGGTCTGGACAGAACTGTTTTCTGATTGGTCCTTAGAGCAGGAAGTAAACCTATGAAACAAAGAGGCAGGGAAGTCCAAATGACTGACAGAAGTGCACGTGTGAGGGCACAAGTGAGTAGATGTTTAGCTTACCACTGGGACTGCGCCACGGGTTGGAGATCTTTCTCAGACTTAGCGGAGCTCCTGCAAACTTAGCGTAGGCCTACAGAACAATGAAACAGATGAGAAACACTGAGGTCAATCTGAATAAAGGTTGGATCGATCACGGAAGCAGCAGTAGAACGGGGGGCTAGGCTGTCTTCTTCGTAGAACTAATGCTAATCTATGGCTGTATTTTAGTTGAGCTAAAAAGCTGGAACTCCAGGTTGAAAAGTTAAAACAGAGTTGAAAGGATTCCACCAACCAAGACCTATGGAATCAAGATGACTGCCACTCTCAGTGATGGTTCATACTGTTGGTCTAACGGTCAGTCAGGCACAGCATTGGCATTGGCAGAAATTATTCTTTAAGATTTCACAGGTCAGGAAATAACCAGAAGGAAAACAAAAACTTTACAACCAGAAGAAAAGAAGAACATCGTAAATCTGCAGCTGTGAAGACACACGCAGACACACACAGGAACACACACACACCAACCTGAGGAATCAGGGCATTGATGAATGACATCACTATCATTAGCATTACCAGCTTCGTCTCATCTGAGCTTGTTAACCATCAGGGTTAGGGGTCAGAGGTGATGCTCAGCACACCTGAAGTTCTGCCCACTCACACCTGGCAACTTTTCATTAACTGAACAGAGATGATGAAAGAGAGGCAGCAGACAGACACATTCTTTAGTCTCGTAGTTGCTACTGGTAAGCTCACGTCGCTGCTGGCACTACAGCTAAGCTATAAAAACTGTCATTGTGTTGTAGCATAACTACTGAGTTATCTTCAGGCCACTTTTTAAATTTAGCTGTACATAATTACCTAACTTCTTTCTTTTTTTTGTACTGATTTATGCCTGATATTTTCTCACTCTCAGCCATCTCCGTGCTAACATGCTCTGCCTTTCAACAGCTGTTCCTAGACAAAGCCGCAAACCTGACAAGCTCCGGTTGGCATAACTCGTCTGTGACATGGAAAGGATTATCGACACAGATGTGACCCCTGACCTCTTGATTCCTACAGGGGTGCTGAAATGGTACAGACACTCTGACAGCGGTTTCCTGCTGCCTCTCACGTTCCTACAGACAAGTTTTTCCACCACAGAGTCCTCATTAATACCCAGAGTTCAGTGCTGCCAGGCTCACATCCCTGTCCAACAGTAACAACAAGCCATCCCCAGCCCCAATTTACCTCCTTACCCCTACAGACAGACAGCACTGGGAACACTGCATCTGATGTGGCCCCAGGGATTTATGGGAGGTCTTACACTAATGCTGACACACACATCTACATCTGAGACAGTTACAGAACAATGATTCAATTAGTTAGCTCATATTTGGAGCAACACTGAGATAATTATTGTTATAATTCACTTATTTAGTTATTCAATGGCCTAAGCACAATTTGTGGCAATTCCTTGAAATTTGATCATCATCAACAAAAAACATGTAAATGTTCTGTGTTTAAAAAGTGCACCTCCTAGTGGCAATAGAAAGAGAACAATTGTAAAACTACTTAAGAATTTCCAGATCCAGAGAGCCAACATTATGACATACATTGGACACTTTCACAGGTCTACAAGAACCGTTCAGGGGAGGTGTTGATGACAAAAAAGGTTTGTTATTTGGCTAACAATGTCAACATCTGAACGTTCCTGTATAAGTTCAGTGAAACATAATTATTTGTGACTCGACTCACAGACTTAGAGCAACCAGATTATCGGACATTTGGCGTCATCTAGTGATAGTAATGGGAACGGCAGCTAAATGGTTCCGCTGTAGAAGTTTAGTGAAGTGAATTACTTGTCACTGTGACACAGCACACTACTGCACACACAACGAGATATGACCTCTACATTTTACCTATCACTGAAGTGAGCAGGGGGGCAGCTTAAGCGCCCGGGGAGCAGTGTGTGGGGACGGTACCATGGAAAGGAAGGTGCTTAAAGCACCTCAGTGTTTCCTTCCTTTCCACCAAGCCAGCACTGCCTCCAATTTTCATTTAATCTTAGAACTCAGTTTTAATAATTAGGGCTGCTATATAAAATATGTAATAGTTTTTTCAATGTCAAGTTTTTGGGATATGTCTGAACTTAAATCCGTGTCGTGTGGTTAATTTCTAAATGTGACGAATTCTTGGCCTAACCTTGAGATTTTATTTGTTTTTACTCGTTCGTAGTATTTCATCTTTAACGTCTGGTTAGATTAGAGGTTAATTTTATGTTTAGTTAGAAAAAAGAAGACATAGCGTATTAGAAAGGTCGTAAGTTTGATTGGAATGTCGGTAACTGTTCAAAAATAAGTAATTAATCATTTATATAAAACCAAGCAATCGTAATGGTTTAAATAAATGTATTTTTAATGACGGTGTATAAAACGTGACTGTAGTCAGTCAGCAGCAGAAACACGTTTGCGACTCAAGTGGTTTGGTTCGCTTGGTTCGCTTTAAAAACTGAACCCACACCGAGAAGTCTGATCCAAGTAAACTCACCAGAACTACCAGACACTCGGTGCTGATGGACGGTAAACCCCAGTCTCCTTCCCAGCAAAATAACTCCTCCGGCGCCGCCATCTTGAATCCCTAAACTGACCCTTCAACCAGGAAGAACTATACGTCACTTCCTCTAAATGGCATTGCCTCTTTAAAAAGACGATTTATTTTTTGTTTGTTTGAATACGAGAAATGTTTTGGCAAACTGAAGGAAACGAAACAAATAACTTTAAAATAATTTTTTACTCTTGTGAAATTCAGTTGAAACACCACAACATGTGTCTACATAAATATAACCAGAGAAAAGGAAGAAAGAAAGAGTGAATACTTTATATATATATACTGTGTGTGGTGCAATTTTAACACAGTCAGAAATGTATTCAAAGTTTATTACAAAATTTGTACAGAGCTTTTTTTTATCTCACAAACATACGTACATTTTTTAACTAATAAATAGGGAAACTGGTTTGGCTGGTAACTGACTGTCTCACAGACATGAGAAACACAGACAATTAAAAACAAGTTGCACAGCAATTGCTGTTCTTAAAGGACATGGTGTGTTAGACTCTTTTTTTTTTTTTTTTGAGTCTATGTTAAGGTTAGGCCAAGCTAACTCTGTTGCTTCTAAAGATAATCTGATGTCAATCAATCCTGACCGTTCTTGTCTAAAACAACAGTACATTTACCATGTGATGCACTGGGTAGAATGCACTGCTGGTCAGTGAAGTGACACAAGATCTCCTGCGGCATCACCTCCATGGTGGGTGTCAAGTGGACAGAGATTCAGCTCGTCCTGACAGGGCTGTAGATGACATCCTCTCCATTTTTCACTGGTCTATTAAGACACACAGGATGTTACAGAATAAGAAATACCACTTTTAAAAGTCACTAAACAGGAAGTTAGAATTGAGTCATTTTAGTTTCCATGTCATGTCTCCATGTCTTCTGTATAAGAAGTGTCTCACCTGGGCTGATTGCTGTGTTTGAAGTAAATGGCCGTGTAGCTGACCTCAGCTTCAGCAGATCTGGAGGACGCGGTTGATGTTAGCATATTGCTAAAACCAAAAAATAAGTTGTGACGTGTGTTAGTTGAGAGCACGAGTGTGGTGTCAGGTTTAACGAAACATCACCAGGAGTAGTGATGTCACGCACCTGTGGCTCCAGCTCCATCGCTGTAGCTGCCTGATGATCATCTACTGCTGCAGGTTTTCTGAAAAGACAACACAGCCCTCCACTATAATACTGTAACACTGAACCGCCGACCCACTCAACCACTGTTCCACTGTACTGCCGTAACACTGTTCCTTTGCTCCACTGTGTCCTGTGACCATGCAACAACTGCAGCTTTGCACAGATAGACCCCCATTAACCACTGAACCACTGACCCGCTGCCACTTTCACAGCACGTACAGTTTTTTTCACAAACCTTTTAAAGATAAAGACGAGGATGACACCACAGAGAACCACCGAGACACCAAGAGTCACACCAAGGATTAGTGGAAGCTCAGACTGTTGTCCTTGAGGATAAGAAAAGGAGGAATACAGTCAATTCAGGTTTCAACCAGGCTTGGTTTAGAGCTGAGCTCAGGAACAGTTGATTAAACAAACCTGTGGCCGTCACTTGTAGCTGATATCGGTGTGACAAGGATTTCTTCAAACTGCAACTGTAGTTTCCAGAATCCCCTGCAGTTAGGGGGCTGATGTGAAGGGTGGGGCTGGTCTCTGAGAGGGTGTGGTCATCTTTTAACCAGGTGACCTTCAGGTCATAAAATGTGCAGGGTGCAGTGCAGCGCAGTGTGACATCCTGACCCTCGAACATCTCGCCGTTGTCACTGGAAGTGTTGATACTCAGCACAGTCTGGTCTGCAGTGAAGTTCTGATTTTGAACAGGTTGAGGTCAAACATTTGGGTCAGAGTTTGAGGCTGAAGATCTTACCTTTGACTGAGATTTGTACACCTGTTTGGTTGGTAAAATGTCCTGCTTCCTCCGTGGCTTCCATTCTGAAACGGTAAGTGCCATTGTCTGGTTTGAGGAGGTTTTGGATCTGTAACGTGCAGTTGCTGGTCTTATCGCCCAAGTACAGGAAGCGTGAGTTGCTCTTTGTTCTATTGCTGTCGTAGACAGTCGGTGTGGTCTTGTGGCAGAGAGGATGGTCCTTGCACCAGCGGACTCTGACGATTGGGGTGATCCGTGGTGTGAAGGAGCACCCCAGAGTGACAGTGGAATGTGTCATTGCACAAACAGCAGGGGGGAGTATCACACTCTGAGGTACAACACCTACCAGACAGGGTGACATGATGAAAAGGGTCACATTTTTTGCTGAAAAAATTAATTTTAGTTGATTTTACATAATTTTTTGTTCAAATTTCAAATGAATAACCGGGACACACACTGGAGGATCTCACATGTCAATCAGTGCCGTTTGAAAAATAAAGAAATGAGTGGAACAAATGTGTAGGTTCTGACCTGTGATAAGAACCAGGAGCTCAAGGAAAACCACCATCATCAGCACCGTCATCTTAATCACTGCTGCTGCTGCTGCTGCTGCTGTGGCCGCTGTGGCTGCTGTGGCTGCTGCTGCTGCTGCTGCTGCTGACAGAGGAACTTCAGATGACAGAATAGTGGAAGTAAAACACTTCCTCCATCCTCTTCTTACATACACGTCTTCCAGTCACTTTTCACTCTTCACACTTCACTTTTTTTCATTGTGTCAGTTTTACTGGCATCTTTATTTCTGCCACCTTAAAATTAAATGAGAAAAAGGTGGTGCGTAAAATGCAGAGATCACATGTTGTTGACTGCAGTGGTGTGCTCTGTCACAATGACAAGTAGTTCAGGAAACATTACTCTACTGTTCTCACAGAAAACAATCAATCAATCACATAAAACTCAACTCAACATAAAGCCAAACAAACTCAGTCAGAATAACAAAATCATATTGATAATAATACTTTGAACTTCATGTTACGTATCAGAATGGTACAGCCAGGGAGGAGGACCCGAAGGCAGAAGTCTGAGAGAACTTGATATTTGATATGAATATATCAAAGACAAGTAAGAGCACGACCGTAAGACACCCTTGCACCTGAAATACAGCATTCCCTTAATTGGAAGCTGCACTCGTTCTGGCAGACGTGTAGGCTGTGGTAAGAACTAAACTCTAGAACAACATAGGTTAACTTGAAGAACCCGTAGATTAACACAGATAATCTCAGATTTATACAGGAATTTGAATAAAAACCTGTTAGATCAAACAAAGAACTTATAAACAATAACAATTAAACAACAATAATAAACTCAGTTGAACATGGACAAAAATCACATTATCACAAGGACGACCTCAGATTAGATTATGATTAGATTAAAAAATCTGGACTAATTAAGTGGAACGCTCCTGCTCAGGTTAGCATCATTTAATTGGTCATCTTCAGATAATCCAACCCGGATATAAACACTGTAAAACTCTCAGAGATGGACCTGAACAGCCAATCAGCAGCTGACTCCTCAGCTGTGATAAAAGCATCTTAGATCAGTGCTGCTGCTTTACTTCTCTGCTGCTGCTGCTTCAGATCATCCTGTCATCAAAGGTAATCCAGACACCTCTACTTATGGGGACATTTCTGTGGTATTCAGGCTCAGATGACAGTTTGGATAAGGATTACAAGTAGACATGTATTTGGACCAGTTATCATTGTCATTATCTGTGTAAAGAGTCAAAAACTCAGCAGATTATTCTGTCACCTGAACTAGTAGAAATGGTATATTGTTATTGTTATTGTTACTGTTATTCAGAGAGTGAGGAAGACCTCAGCTGCTATTTCATGCTTGCCCTCTGATAGGTTCAAGTGTCGTCCACTCCTCATCCTATCAATGTCCACCATGTCCAACTGCATCAGGACAGAGAACCAGGCCAGGGCTGCATTCCAGTCAGCCAGTAAAAGGCCGGACCCCAAAGACCGGGTGGAGTACTACAACTCCTGGGCTGAAACCTATGACAAGGTGGGTTGAAGGAACAGGAGATCTTTGATACAAACTAGTCTTCTACTGGTGGGAGAGCTCACAATTACACAGTTTAGGAAGTTTTTAATGTGAGTTTCTTGGAGGTACAACTAGACATCAATGCTTGTAAAAAAAAATCTAAAAAAAAAACCCAGTTTGGCTTCACTTGGCTGCAGGAATGTGTTGTGTTTGTCCGTGAGAAAGTCCAAATGTCACAGTGACAGCGTTCGTTATTTGTCTTCTTTCTATAATCTACCAAAGTAGACAAACATGTTCTCATTCGCCTCAGTAATGTATACTATACAGTTGCATCAGCCCTGCCCTACAGGTTTCCAAGTGGCACGCACTCACAGCCAACTTTAAATGCATGTCATATGATCTGACACAAATCACCAGTTCTGTGAACAGATACTGTCAGAGAGGAAGCTACGAACACAGTTACACAATCACTGTTTCAGAGCAACACAAACCATCTCGTGATTCGATCAGTTTGGTTAGTCAGACATCTTACAAAGGCAGACTATTTGTAATCCTTTAGTGTTGACAGCATGTCTGTCAGACTGACCTTAACAACAAAAAGTTCAATTTTGTAAAGAGCCCACTCTCCAACACAGAATTCCATGGAGAAAATCTGTCATTTTACATCAACAACTAAATGGCAACAGAGACTGTCTCAGACAGTGGGAAAGGGTCGTAAAAATATTTCAAATTCACTGTTGTTTTTTACGATGACAAGCGGAGACGTTTTCGATACTATACTTGTTACCATATACTACCACTCTAAACATTCCTAATGTTTACAGTGGTAGTATATACTATTACTGTGTAAAGTAGTTGTTATTATTACGCCCTGCCGAACGTTTTATCCAGTCTCTGTCTTTGAGTTTGACTGAAATATTGCATTTTCTGAATTATTGTGCCGCTCTGTCTGCTGCATGTAATTCTTCTGCCCCCAGTGGACAGTAGAAACTACTACACCTGCAGTAACAGGGCCTCAGAAGGATTTCAGGTGAACTTGAATCTAGTGAAAGTCCTATACTGGACTGGATGTTCAGCAGAGCTCACTGACACAGTGTGTTCCTCTTAAACAGGATCACACCCTGGTGAGCTACAGTGCACCTGAGCTGGCCGTCAACTTCCTGTTTGAACACTATAAAGGAAATCCTGAAGAAGCGCTTGTTCTGGATGTTGCCTGTGGGACTGGATTGGTGGCTAAAAGGGTGAGACTGAGCTCTTCATTCTTAGTCAACGATGTCTTACATTGCTTGCAGAGACACTTGAACTGCTGGTACACTGCTGCCTCCTGTGGTCATGTGGTCTCATCTTTGTGATTGAGACTAGTCTGAACTAAAGTTTTTCAAACAGCAAAGTTTTTTCTATGAGGTTTGGTGACATTTAACTTTTTTTTTTATTCCAGATGAATCAATTGGGTTTCAGACACTTTGTTGGAGTGGATGGCAGTAAAGGCATGCTGGATAAGGCTAATGATACCGGTCTCTACCAGCATCTGGAACACACCCTACTGGGTTCAGAACCACTACCTGCAGAACCTGGTACATCTGAAATGGACCTCAGGGCATCTTCACAGATCAGTTTTAATCTGGTCATAGTAAATTAGAACAAAAACTACAAAGACGCTTCTTTCTCCTCCTCTCTTGGTTTTAGGTAAGTTTGATGTGGTGATGATTGTTGGTGCTTTACGTCCTGGTTTGGTACCAATCAGCGTCATCGAGGAACTCTACAAAGCTGCCAAACCAGGTATGCTGCTCCAGCCTCAGTTCAGGGTCTGACACATGTTTCTCTATAACTGATTATTGTTTAATATTATATAAAATAATATAATATAATGGTGTAAAACTAATTGTGTCATGTGACCTGTGGGTTTTGTCAGTATCCTGGTAAAAGTGTGTTTGATAAATTCAGTGAAAAATCCTGACAGGTTGCTTTTACTGTTGATGTTTGTTTGATTCAGGCGCCTACATTTGCATGTCGAGGGTCAACCCGATACCCGAGGATGCAGATGAATACAAGGACAAGATGGAGGCACTGCTGAAGCTGATGGAGGATCAGCATCTTTGGTCTCACGTGGCGACACAAGCCACAGACAAATACATGAAGGACCTTTACCATAACTGTGACAAAGAAGTGGACGAGGACCACTACCTCACTGGAACCTTGTACCTCTTCAAGAAACACTGCTCAGCCTGAGCACCAGAGGCTACATCTGAACATCAGAAGATCTGATGACAGCAGATTTAATATCGATTCAAACACTGTGATAGAATTAAAAACAATAAAGTGTTTTCAATCGGTGCTGCTGTCTGTGGTTACTGATGATGTTGATGAATAAATGTTAGTGGTGGCTTAGTGGTTACGGAAGCGGACTTGGGTCTGCGAGGCTTCAGGTTCCAGTCCACCAGCTGCCGAGTTACCACTGAGGTGCTCTGAGTAAGGCACCGTCCCCACACACTGCTGCCCACTGTTCACTTTGGTGATGGGTTAAATGGGTTATTATACTATAACAGTCGAACTAGATAATATCACAACATCGTGGTTGGATTTACAAGATTACATGTCAATATTATATGAATTAAAAAATAATAATTTTAGAATAAATAGTCAATCATAATCTCAAAGACATCAAACATCGAAGAGAAATGTGGGAATAAGGAGATGAAGATGTCAAGACTTTGATTATAAAAAAAATTATGAAATCGATAATAAATCTAAATATCAAGAACCGGTGATAGTGGATACCATTTTTTATTTTAAATAGGAAATTAATAAAGGAAATGTCTCAAAGATACAAGATTATGGTGGTAAAACAGAAGATCAACGGTTGAATATAACATTCAAAGAATAAAATACTTGAGATCATGGCAGATTACAGGTTACAATTCAATGACAGCTACGACACTTTATAGGAAACATTTTTACAATGTATTATTTTCATTTCTAGACTTCTGAGAAAAGAATTAGCGCCCTCCTGCGGCAGTAAATCATACCTGCAGTCTGCAGTAGTGAGCAATCCTCCTCGGATTACGATCTTGACTCTCTGCATCCTCCTCACCACAACCGAGCATCACTCCCATTGAAAACCTTCCCAAACCGGACAAACTAGTGGTCGAACCATGGAATGTCATCCTCGATACTTACATTAACATGAAAATGTATGCATCTGGCAAACTTGGGAAGGTTTTCAATATCATTCCATTTGCGATTCTGAGCAATAACGAACCAGTCTCTTCAGCAGTGAAAGCAAATGAATCTGCCCACGTAGCATTAAAGGTTCTGTTTTCTCCAGTAATGTTTATTTTCTATGATTTATCCATCATTTACCTACCAAGGGTCGATAAGCTCAATAAATCACGCTGGTGGTGTAGGTGCCGGATAAATCCGCGCTGCAGGTATGTGCCGGGTGTTGCACATCGGCAGATGTAACGCATATTTTGTACCAGGACGGTTGTAGCTAATGTTTGGGTGGGAGGCTGTAGCAGGACGGTTGTAGCTAATGTTTGGTTTGGAGATTGTAGCAGGACGGTTGTAGCTAATGTTAGCGTTGGAGACTGTACCAGGACGGTTGTAGCTAATGTTAGCGTTGGAGACTGTACCAGGACGGTTGTAGCTAATGTTAGCGTTGGAGACTGTACCAGGACGGTTGTAGCGAATGTTAGCTTTGGAGACTGTACCAGGACGGTTGTAGCGAATGTTAGCTTTGGAGACTGTACCAGGACGGTTGTAGCGAATGTTAGCTTTGGAGACTGTACTAGGACAGGAGTATTGGTGGTGGTGTAAATACTGTGATTTACACCATGTACAACAGAAGTGGGGCAGTGGTGGCTTGGTGGTTAAGGAAGTAGCCTTAGGTCCAGAGGTTTTAGGTTCAAATCCATAAGCTGCCAAGTTACCATGGAGGTGCACTGACTACAGCATCGTCCCCTTGCTTATACTGCCCCCTGCTGACTGGACAAAGTAGTTTAAAAAAACCAAAAACTATTTTGTCCAGTTGCTTTCAATGTAACACATTTTTAGCCCCAAGTATGTGGTTCCTCTGGGGTTTGAACCCAGAAGGAAGATGTGTAGGCGGGGCTAATAACAACAAAACTATCGAAACACTTAACACAGGTTACCTTGAAGAAACTGACAGCAAGAAAGATAATCTCAGATTTATTCAGTGCAATTTGAATTAAAACCCGTTTTGTGGTTTAAGACACAACCTTTTATCCAACTTATAATGTCGCCCTGAGTTCTCTCCCCAAAAAATTCAACCTCCTCCCTGATCAGTATCATTTCAAAGTACACCCAGCCAAAAGTGTCGCTCCGATCAAACTATTAGTCCATAGGTATGGTATCACTCCCCATTCGCACCTCTAACATTGTGACTTTACATTTAAAAAGTTCTGTTAGGCAACTGGACGTGAATCCAAGAAGCCTCTTGGATTAGAGGTGAAACGTCTTTTTTTGGAAAATTCATGTCCAGTTGCCTAACAGAACTTTTTAAATGTAAAGTCACAATGTTAGAGGTGCGAATGGGGAGTGATACCATACCTATGGACTAATAGTTTGATCGAGCAGGTATTAAGTCGTCTGACTGGACCAAGCAGCAACCTGAGTAAACATGTCAGAGATGGACCTGAACAGCCAATCAGCAGCTGACTCCTCAGCTGTGATAAAAGCATCTTAGATCAGTGCTGCTGCTTTACTTCTCTGCTGCTGCTGCTTCAGATCATCCTGTCATCAAAGGTAATCCAGACACCTCTACTTATGGGGACATTTCTGTGGTATTCAGGCTCAGATGACAGTTTGGATAAGGATTACAAGTAGACATGTATTTGGACCAGTTATCATTGTCATTATCTGTGTAAAGAGTCAAAAACTCAGCAGATTATTCTGTCACCTGAACTAGTAATCTTTCATATGATGGCGCTGCACGAGCAGCAGCTGTGTACAGTAGCTCTCCTCCTCATAGTACTTTTTCTTACTTTTTTTCCTTCTTTCTTTTTAGTTTTGTATTATTTCTTTTTTGTGGTCAAATCATGTGACCGTCACCGACAGAACAGGACCACTTTTATCACTTTGGTGGTCTGTTTCCTTCTTTTTTCTGTACTTTTTGGAACATCGTCGGCTGAAACGCTCAGTGGGTCCATTGTTTACACCAGGGACCAGCTGATGGCGTTGCGCAACACCACTCTTCCTTTCGCCGGTAAAGCGGAGATTCCGGTGGAAATAAGAAGGAAGAGACGGGGGTGCAGAGCCGGACGGAATGTTCAGGAGAGGAAACGGAGGTACAGACCATTCATTCCGTCTGTTATTATGGGAAACGTCCGTTCCATTCAAAACAAGACGGACGAGCTCGCGGCGCTGATTCGGCATGAGAGGGAGTTTCGGGAGTGCAGCCTGCTGTGCTTCACGGAGACCTGGTTGACGGAGATGACGCCAGACTCGATCGTTTCTATGGACGGTTTTGAAATGGTTCGAGCGGACAGAAATGTGGCCGGGAAGAAGAGAGGCGGTGGACTAATGGTGTACGTGAATGAGAGATGGTGCGACCCCGCGCACGTCTCCATCAAAGAACAACTCTGTACAAAGGACATTGAGCTTGTTGCGGTGGGCATCCGCGCCTACTACATCCCGAGGGAGTTCTCGCACGTGATTGTGTTTACAGTCTACATCCCTCCGTCAGCCGACGCAGCGGCTGCGTGCGAGCTGCTCCACCTTCCTCCCATCAGCCATAAGACTGTTTAACTCTTTGCACTGACTACCTGCACCCTTCACTGCCACTTTATGGTTTCAATATGTATATTTTTTGTTCATTATGTATATTTTCTAAAGTTTACTTTAATTTTAGAGTGCTTTTTGCTTTTTAGTTCTTTTACTCTTTTTATTTTGTTAACTCCTTTTCTCTCTTTTTCTGCACTGCCACTTGCTACTGCACAAGTATGTTTCCCCCAACGGGGGTGAATATAAAGCCCTACTCTACTCTCTCTACTCTCTAGTAGAACTGGTATATTGTTATTGTTACTGTTATTCAGAGAGTGAGGAAGACCTCAGCTGCTATTTCATGCTTGCCCTCTGATAGGTTCAAGTGTCGTCCACTCCTCATCCAATCACTGTCCACCATGTCCAACTGCATCAGGACAGAGAACCAGGCCAGGGCTGCATTCCAGTCAGCCAGTAAAAGGCTGGACCCCAAAGACCGGGTGGAGTACTACAACTCCTGGGCTGAAACCTATGACAAGGTGGGTTGAAGGAACAGGAGATCTTTGACACAAACTAGTCTTCTACTGGTGGGAGAGCTCACAATTACACAGTTTTTAATGTGAGTGTCTTGGAGTTATTACTAGACATCAATGCTTGTAAAAAAAAAAAAAAAGAACAACCCTCTGTTTTCATTATTAAGACTCAAATTTCTAAAAACAAAACAGTTTGGCTTCACTTTGCTGGAGGAACGTTCTGGTTTGTCAGTGAGGAAGTCCAACTGTCACAGTGAAAGTGTGTTCCTCTTAAACAGGATATCAGCCTGGTGAGCTACAGTGCACCTGAGCTGGCCGTCAACTTCCTGTTTGAACACTATAAAGGAAATCCTGAAGAAGCGCTTGTTCTGGATGTTGCCTGTGGGACTGGATTGGTGGCTAAAAGGGTGAGACTGAGCTCTTCATTCTTAGTCAACGATGTCTTACATTGCTTGCAGAGACACTTGAACTGCTGGTACACTGCTGCCTCCTGTGGTCATTTTTTTGTAATTCAGACTAGTCTGAACTAAAGTTTTTCAAACAGCAAAGTTACAAATGAACATATTCAAACTGAGTGATGGAGGCAGCAGTGAATTAACTCTGTGCTTTAAAATCACTGATTTTTTTCTATGAGGTTTGGTGACATTTAACTTTTTTTATTATTCCAGATGAATCAATTGGGTTTCAGACACTTTGTTGGAGTGGATGGCAGTAAAGGCATGCTGGATAAGGCTAATGATACCGGTCTCTACCAGCATCTGGAACACACCCTACTGGGTTCAGAACCACTACCTGCAGAACCTGGTACATCTGAAATGGACCTCAGGGCATCTTCACAGATCAGTTTTAATCTGGTCATAGTAAATTAGAACAAAAACCATAAAGACGCTTCTTTCTCCTCCTTCTCTCGTGGTTTTAGGTAAGTTTGATGTGGTGATGATTGTTGGTGCTTTACGTCCTGGTTTGGTACCAATCAGCGTCATCGAGGAACTCTACAAAGCTGCCAAACCAGGTATGCTGCTCCAGCCTCAGTTCAGGGTCTGACACATGTTTCTCTATAACTGATTATTGTTTAATATTATATAAAATAATATAATATAATGGTGTAAAACTAATTGTGTCATGTGACCTGTGGGTTTTGTCAGTATCCTGGTAAAAGTGTGTTTGATAAATTCAGTGAAAAATCCTGACAGGTTGCTTTTACTGTTGATGTTTGTTTGATTCAGGCGCCTACATTTGCATGTCGAGGGTCAACCCGATACCCGAGGATGCAGATGAATACAAGGACAAGATGGAGGCACTGCT